AGTCGATTGAATTTTTGTATATGAAAGTTCTTGACTCAGATCGACCAGCCATCAGGATTGTAAATAATCGTTACTTCTCCGAGCTGTTGATTCCTACAAAGGTGATATATCCTCCGGACGTGCTGATTGTGGAAATCCAGAAAAATCCAATGTTAACTCCTAGCGTTGTCGATCCGCTACGAGAATGGTGCAGAAACTGTATCATCACTCTCGAATACGGTCAGCTATGTTTGTAATCAAGTCTCTTAAGCTGTTTGGATAACATGATTTCAAAATTACTAATTTTTCTAATTGAACGCCATTTTATCATATGCCCTTATATGGTCTATGGTAACCGTATTTCAGCCTGTGGTATCGGCAAGAGTAACTTCACAATAAAAGAACTGATTACCGCCTGTGCAGACCACGAATACATTAGACCACCACCAGGAGTGGTTTTGGTCATCACATCTGATATGGTGACCCAAGAGCAGCTGGATCGGTTACTTGCCAAAGTCGTCTACTTGGAAATGTGTATTGAAATCAAACACTCCAGTATTATGAGCTTGCGAATACCTAACCTCAAAGAAATAAGACCTTGTCAACCGGGTCAGTTCGTACAAATATTGAAAATGTGATCTCAAAAAGTCTCGTTTCGCAACCATTTCTTATGAAACTCTTATCCCTTACCAAATTTGCAATAGCGCTGATTTTTTAGGTCGTCCAGCTATTCTAATTGAGAACAACGTTCACTTTGAGGAGCTTATTATACCACCAACTGCTATATATCCGGCAGGAGAATTGATCATCAGAATTGTGCGAACTCCTTCTCTTCCGCATACAACTATTAACGAGATACAACAATGGTGTCCATACTGCACCGTCACCCATGACTACAGTTCGTAAATTTTCTTCATTCCATCTGACTGGGGTTGGAGAATGGACATAACTTCAATTTTTGTCAGAAATCACCCTTGCGATCTTTCTTAATAGCTAAGAAAACATTTTTGAACCGCGCACTTTTGCCTTTCTTTATCCGCGCTTCAAGTGTCAATCTTTACATTAAAAAAACCAAAAGAACCTGAACTAATTTTTTTTAGCAATTTTGCTCTTTTTCTCCCAATAAGAAAAGCCTTTCAGTCTGCGGAATTTCGAGCTCGAGGGTTTCTATACCACAGATTCTTTCGGCTTGTTCCAACCAGGAATACATCGTGCCTTCAAAGGGAATCACTGTTGTCCTCAGATCAAAGCAAGTTTCTGAAAAACAGATGAACGCGTTATGCGCACGAGCTAAAGTGATGAAGATTTGTATCGAAATTAGAAAATCCTCCTTTAAAAAGTTGCGTTGTCCGCATCTGAAGGAATTGATACCGTGCCAGTATGGTAAGCCCTAAGCCCTCCAAGCAGTTATGAATGAGTGTAAAATGCGGGGAATTTCAGGTCGACCAGCCGTAAAGATAGTTGATAATGACGACTTTGTCGATTTTGAAATCCCTAAGAATGTGTTGTATCCGAGGGGTGCACTAATCGTGGAGATCCAGAGAAATCCACGGTTCAGTTTTAAAAGGCTCACCATGCTTCAAAATTGGTGCCCCGAGTGTACAATCACTGGTGACTTTGGTGGGTTCTACCTTTGTTTTTATCTTGTTACAAATGTTATTATATAAATCCTATGCAATTTTCAGCATGCGGCCTCAACACGCCAAATCCAAGCGCTAAGGA